CAACGCCACCACCATCTACTGTTGTGCACGTCGTAAGACTGAAGCCTCATATGTCGCCTAACACACCGCTTTCTTGACAAGCACCGGGACGGCCCTTTAACGCCGCGCGGTAGTGCCACAAGGCAGTAGTTTGCATGTAAGATTATCAAGCAGCTTGCTTCGATATAAACACCATAGTGAGGTATCCACTGATTCGTTACGGGCTGCTGGGATAATATTTGAGTCTAGATATGCAGTGTCGAATTCGAGATCCTCATATTAGCAGAACACACTTTATTTAGGTTGGTTTTATATTTATCCAAAGTTTTAGGATGATAGTTCATAAAATATATGCGATTGTTGAGGAGCTCTATTATGAAATTTATCATTTAGAAAATAGACAAACAGAGCTGCAGAAGTTACTGCTTTATCCCTGGAGTAAAATATAGACCTGCTGCCTCCGGCGAGCGGGATGTTTTATTTATAGATGGCACTACTTGCTCGGATTACCGGAAGAGTGTGCGACAAGTATTTGTGTCTTTTTGTTCTATTTGCTGAGCAAAGTTGACCACTTAAATCTTAACGAACAAGCTGTTGGACTTGAGAAGGCAGGTTATCTAGAACACGTCATTGCCAAAAAGTGTGAAAAGAAATGAAAATTATTTAAAATAAATAAATAGAAAACAGGCTGGGAATGATGAATGGACCGTCAGAGCAAAATAGGCAAATGGTCATTCCATAGACTAACCGAGTCGCACATGGTTCCCCACCACGGTTGGCGAAGTTAACGGGCTGCTGACCCACAGGTCGCGGGATCGAATCCCAGCTGTGGCGGCTGCGTTTTCGATGGAGAGGAGAATGCTGTACGCCTGTGTTCTCAGATTTAGATTCACGTTAAAGAACTCCAGGTACGGTATATTTTCGGAGCCGTCCACTACGGCGTCTCTCATATTCATATAATGTTTTTGGGACGTTAAATCACACATATCAATCAATAGCACACGGCTTAAAAACGTGGCTGAATTATATAGTATTGACGTAATTTTTTCGTCTCCTGTTACGCTTGTGTTCATGTGCGCAAAAGTGCAAAAAGCCTCGCTAAGCAGGGCAAAAGCAATGAAAGTGTTCTTAGCAACTGTGAAATAACCCATACCTCCGAATATATAATACCTAAAGAGGCCATTGTATATTGAATTTTTTTATCTCGTGGTGAAACTTAGATCAGCCAAAGCGGAAGATCCATCAACGTTCGTCTTTGGGAACTCGAATGTTTATTATCAGAGTCAAAAACACACTCTCTCACCACACATTGTCATTAATGTGGCGGCGTATTCTCCTTCAACAACACAATAATGATGTAGTATCGTAAAAATCAAATAGCAAGAGAAGTGACTGCAACCTTCCACACCTGAGGTAAAAACAATAAATCTGTCAGTATGCCGTCAATATTGATAAGCAACGCAGTATTTAGCAATATTTCAAGAACCTGCAGAAAATAATACCAATTTGTATTCTTTCTTTCTTGCTTTTGGCGTGTTTGGATGTATTGCTGTTTGGGTTTCAATGCGTTTTCTATTGAGTGGCACTTCGCCTATATATCAGCTGTCCTTTCCCAAAATATACTTAGCTGTGAGTCAGCGCCTGCCTGTGTTCTTTTACTTCGCCGTCTTCTCGTGCGCGGTGTTCGACCAATTATGATTTTGAGCCTTGAAGCCTTCTTATGCCATTGCAAACAGTGCGAACAAGTGAAGAGTGTTTTAAAGTCCGATAACTTTACTGTCGGAAAGCTCACCAGAGGGGACTGCTACCAAGATTCAATAACTAAGCTCGCGCGAACTTTCTTAAGACTGTAATTGACACAGCAATTACTACAAAAGAAAAACAAATGAACACTTCTTTAATTAGCAAATCAGTTTGCTGGATAGCAAATGAAAGAAAAGATGCCTCCAATTGAGTAAAACATTCAAAAACACGAGGATTTGCAGAACAGATTGATGGCCTTTTTGACAATTAGCCCTGATAAAATCTAATCCCTATGACACCACCACAAAAAAGAAGCACTATAACAGGGTGTCACTCGCAGATTATCATATTCGCAGGTCAACAATAAAAAACATATAAGCTACATTACATGTGTGCACACACTGCAGCTTCACGTAATTATTATGCATCACATGCGAGGACCATATAAAGCTGTTTTTAACACATAATTTAGCTACATCATTGAAAGTTTCACGTGCGCAAAACCGCAGACATGACCCTTGTACGAGTGGCAAAGCCAGGTGGTGGCCCACCGAGGCCATACCAGCACCCCCACCCTCTGTAGTTTTTTAGCAATGAAATTGTGACCAGCCCGCTTTCAAAACAAGGCAGCCCCCCTCCTCCCCACACTGAAATAAATTTTTTCTATGCCTCTGCCTTATAAAAAAAGGCCTGTATTTATGGTACAAGCCTGTTTCTATTATCTCCTGTGTCAAAGCATCTGAGCTTTTGACAAGAACAAATGCTTTCAAGAAGCATTGCTTCATGCAAGCGAGAATTCCACTCGGTGGACGAATGTGCTACCGAATTCTTGAACGTTCGCGCACCCCATCGCGGAAGTTCAGGCAGTGACCGATTCGGCCGATGTAAAGCCGACTGCTACTCCATAGTGTTGCAGATGACTCGCCAGGCGACTAAGCCGCACACGACTAAGTGTGCTTCTTACTGCACGGGGAGGGCCCTCGTGGTGTAGAAATACCGATATACAGGCCAGCTGATTTCCGAGACACAGAAAGTGCTGACGCGTTTCTTGTTTCGATTTGTATGCTTAAGGAACACAAAATATTATGAACGAAAATTTATTGCATTTCTTAGTGCCCTTTGTGAGAAATAAAAAAAATTAAATTGGCATCCATTTTCCGTATTCCAAATATGATTGCCCATCTTCATATTTGATTTTCGTGTAGTCAGTTGACGAATTGAATGCCGCTGCAGCCGTACTGAAGGAGCGAAAAGCCTCTTTAGAGATTGTAAAGTTAGTTTTTTGCTATGCATTTTGAAGAAGTAATTGCGACTTGTCGTTCAGTGAAAATAGCCTATTCAAGGGCGGTTTGCTCACGCAATGACGTGGAAAATGTCGAGTCACCTCTCTCGAGATGAGCACTCAAAATAGACAAGCCTCAGCACGTTCAACTAGGAACACCTTTTTGATTGAATCACGACATGTGCCGCCCTTACTTTTTCAAGTAAGCGGTGCAGAAAAGCACACTTGCTAATTAGGAAAAGGGTCCGTTGAGTGGACACTACTGAGAAGAACATTCATCTTTGCCCTCTCTTTCTTTAAACAGTCCTCACTTGAAACCCAATTCCTGTTTCACACTTGTGCTGGGAATACACAACTGGAGGCCTAAATATGCTTTTTTTATGCGCAACGGTAATACGTGTGGCAGTAAAACAAATATTCGACCCACTACATAGCCTTTTGGTGAAGGTACCGAATTGCGGACTAAAAGGTCTGAATATTGCATCCTGGCTCCGGCGGCTGCATTTTCTATTCAGGTCGAAATGCTCAAGGCTCGTATTCTTTCGATTCAGGTGCACCGCGAAGATCCCCATGGTGGCCAAAATTAGGAACTCTCTACAACAGCGTCTCTCACAATATAGTCCTGGCTTCGGGACGTTAAAATGCAAGGAATGATCAAAATACTAACTAGTACCGTTTTTCACTTCACCGTCGAGCTGCTCAGAATATTGTCAGACGTCTGACATAGATAAAATGTATTATCAGGAGCAAAACCATGCAATTTTCGCCTTTTTCGTCACCTTCATTTTCCTGCTCTTCTTTTCCGCTACAAGAATACGCACGCTGATTTTTCAGGCGAGAAATAGATAAACTTTATGGTGCAGATAATCAATAGGAAGAGTACGAAAAAAAGTAAGAAGCAGAAACATGGGAAATGATAGAAACAAAAAAGGGAATTTATTTGCAACAAGTTTATATTTCATGAGGCGATGGTTGAACGCACGTATTCACAATTCGAATGCGAACGTCCTAACCACTCAGCTATCAAGGCACGCTGGCAAAATATAGTGCCTCCATTAGCATAGTGCAGTAAAGTAGTGAGGGTAATAAGAATAAATTTCAGGGTTAGGAGAAGTAAAAGCCAAGCAGAGAGAGAAACACAGGTACTGAGATAGACAGCAAGAATTAGACTTATAGAGATAAATATAAAAACAGGGGAAGGCACATAATAAAAAAGACGAAAAATGAAATACCGACACAAGGGACAGATATATATAAACAATGACATGGAAAGAGAAAAAAAAAGAAAAAAGAAGTGATGAAATAGCAAAAAAAAAACACAGAGAAATTGACAGATATAGAAGGGTATATAAAAGAATATATACTAAAAAGAAGTAAGAACACAGATAGCATAGCCATGTTTGGTACAGTAGAAGAGGTATAGTTAGTCATGTGGTGTGGAAAAGCTATTATTTTTATGAACCAGCACATGCTTTTTTCGTTATAATTTTCAACTTTGTCATCTGGTTTCTGTACTGCTCTCAGCATACTAGCTGCCCTGTGAACCAGCCCTATGAGACTTAGTGCCTACCCGATTTCTTACATAGCATTTTAAAGCACACATTCATGACTCATGGAGGCCTCATAGTCGGTCAAACTTGTGCCCCGCATGCGCCACCGGCTACGCAAATGTGGTTCAGTGTCGGCACTGTTTATAGCGAAATAGATCACTGTGTGTTTCAACTTGGTATTTGCGTGCATTGGGCAGACGTGAAAAAGTGAGCCGATGAAAAGTTCCTAATGAAAAGTCAGCAGCTTATATCGTTTCTATTTCGCGCCTGAATGCTATCCCAGCTGACCAATTCCTAGAAAGAAGGACACACTATCCACATTGCCGTATATAAATGTCAATGCAGGTCATTTCTTACTTCATAAAAAACGTATATAAAGATTACCAGTATTCTGTCTTTTTCGCAGCGTTATCAAGCTTTTAGCAGCTCCCTTGCTCACATTCTTAATGGAATTGTGTACGTTTGTGAGCGTTGCAAAATTCTTAGCGTTTATCATAAGCTGCCATGCTGCGAAGTGTGAGTGCACCTTTTTTATAACTTTTTATTCATGTTTGGTGTACAAGAATTATCTTAAAATCTAGTGGCCTGTGTTGCAGAAGCAGACTAGCAGCAAATTCAAATCAGATTCGAAAATCTTTGTTAATATTTAGAAGTTATTTTGTTGCAAGGAGCTCAACTTACTAATAAATCTTCAATTCAGACTTTTTAAAAGCTCCTCTAACTATGAGCAGCAAACCAATGTTGACATTAAAAGTGGTACGTTCTAGAATACAGTTTACGTGTTGATCCAGGAAAGTATCCGAAGATACTAACAGCATATTTCTGTAATTCCGCATGAACTGCTTTATTTGCAAAGTCGGCTCCCTGAAGAGATTTCTCTTGAAAGCTTGCGCTGGATGGTATTTACGGCGGATATTTATTCACTGAAATTATTTCACGCCAAGTGATCTTTATTTTCAACAGCATCACGTCGGAGATCCTTAGTCGAAAAGATGCTAGTGACACCTTGAGAAGGCCAAAAGGCCTGTTGAAGAGCAGCAGGCATGGTTTTACAAAAGTATCAACAGAATCACCGTTTAAGCATATGTCGATATAGATCTTGCCTGTTCACCTTGCTTTTAGTGAACAAAATGAACGCACAAATATATACGTGTTACATATATGCTATATGCACCTGCAAAAAGACAATTTTCACACAAAAAGAAAGACATGAACCAACATGACAGCAAAAGTTAGGTAGTGGTGTTTAAGTAGTTGGTATATGTTAACTAGCATACTTCACGCATTTATGTAAAACTTACAGTCATGCATTTAGAAATCTATATAATTCAAAATGTGTACAATGTTTTTGGTATCCGGTTTTAAAGCAGCCATTCTTCGTATCGCCGGAGAGGTTGCACTGTAGGCCCTTTTTAATAGTATAAAAATTCTTTAACTATATATCAGTTTTATGTCGTAGCTGTACGCTTTCTGTGGTTGTACTAGGCAGCCTGTCTTGTTCCACATGTTCACCCTCCTTTATGGGGAAACCTGATGAATGTGGCTGCACTTAATGGCATGTTAGTGAATGCGGCGCTCCCAAGCAGTGAAATTCCAGGTTCAAAGACGCACGAAAACGGGCAAAAATGAGAAAATTTGCAAAAATGCTGCCAGTTTAAGCATTTGGCTTCAAAAGTGGCCTGAACTAGCCATGCGCGTTTGAAAATAACGTTGGTGTCTTTTGTTTGTCACTACATGCTAGAAAAGTTTTACAAAAATGTGAAGAAGTACAGCCTAAACGTTTCAGAGATCAGAATTGCCCTGATTCAAGCACGCAGTGTTAACTTCATCAATCATTTGTAGCAGGATCACTAAGTTTGTTGTAGTGTTCTAAAAATGACATACTATTCACAAGTCTTGCGTGAATAAAAGGAATTAATGTAGTGACAGTGAAAATCAGTAAATGGCCTGAAGCCACTTGGTTTTACTGTTGCTGAAACTTTAAGCAGTTCTTACTTCGGCAATCTTTGATGGAGGCGGAATGCTGTAGGCTCGTGAGCTCAGATTTCGATGTACGTTAAAGGACCAGGTGGTAAAAATTTCTGGAGCCCTCTACTACGGTGTCTCTCACAAACATATGATAGTTTTGGGACGTTAAACCCCACATCAATCAATCACTTCAGCAATCATTTCTTACTTTATGAGAAAGAGCGAGCAAATAAAAAGCAGAAGCAAGTCGTGGTATATTCAGTTTTCAACATTAATGAGCACAATATAGCGTTACTGATGCAGAGCACTTTTACTCTCCTGTTCATTTCTGTCAAGGCTTAAAGCCTAGCTTGTCAAACGGTTGTCTGTATAGGCAGGTTTAACTCAACAGTTTTGTCTTGTCTCAGCCACGTATTTCAAAACCCTTCATTTGTTTGTGTGTGCAATGCCTTGGCTGCTGGCTCATTATGAATGTGTAACTTCTATTTATTATTATTTCATTTTTTGTTATTGCTGTTAGAAGCGAAAAAGAAGCGCAGGGCTATTTCAGAACTAAAAGATATACTTTGCAACTTACGAGCCTTTTTAACAAAAGATAAAGGCAACAAGTGTGCGTCCCGGTATAAAAGCGGCGCTGTTATCGGATTCACAACTGACGTTAACCCTAGATGACAGGCGTATACCAGCAGTAAGTAATATTTATTGCTTTATTATACAATTAGATAGCCAACACTGTAACTACAATCGGCGTTGCACCGAGATGATGTCTGCGTAGGTCCTTTTTCTGAAGCAGCTTCAAAACCAGGTCTGCCGTTTTGGTAGAATACCGCACTGCCACGCAGAGTGTTCGAGCTTGATTCTTAATGGGACCCTGAATTCTATCATCTGCATTCGTCGAGTCAACGCTGCCCGGTTAACGTTTCTTAACAATCCAGCATTTGGATTGCTGAGGTCTGTTTCTGTTGTTCCCGGGCAGGTGTAAACACTCCGTTTTTTGTAGCACGTACCCACGTACCGCGGTCTATGCTGAACAGCTATGAGCCTCATGTTCCTTGCAGGAAGAAATTTGGGTATGCACGCGACAGAAGTTTTACGTTATTATTGCTACGGTGAAGCAGTAATATTGATTAAATCCTCGTTCGCTTCCATAGCAGTCTCGATTTGCAACAAGTTAAGGACGCGAACGCGAGAGAACTTAGGCATTACCGGCTAGGTAGATGGATACGTAAATAGAAAACTCAGAGTGTCTTGATTTCACTAAAAATAATGCTTAGCAGTGAAATAAGGTTGGTTTTAAAAGAAAAATACAGAAATATTTGAATGTTCTGCTTGCTAGGTTTCTGTGATAATATATAGCGCTATATATTTGGGCGTGAAAATAAGAGGGGGACCTTAAATAGACCTATAGCAAGATGGAGCAGTCTGTGCTGAATTGAACAACCAATCTACCTTGTTCATCCACAGTGCCGAAATACCGAGCAGTCACATATCCCGAAGTCTTTGATGGGCGTGATGAAAACACAAAGGTTCTTAAAATAAACGATGACATTATTTTAAACCTCGAGCCCACGTCAGTATTGCACGAAGACTTTTTTGTTCGCACGTATCACAATGGAATTGCGGAACATCATCACGTGAGTAGCCAAAATACAGTAAATATTTCATTTGACAAGCCACACTTTCACCGCAAGGATGAAGTGATGAATGCGAGGTTAAAATTAGAATGCCATGCGAATATCGGCGAGCTCCTCGATACTTGCAGCTTTCCGCTGAAGCACAAAGAAGGACGCGCACGTATACACAGAGTAACCATGAGCCAACGGCTATCACAGCTGTTAGGCATTAGTGCTTGAGCACCACGCTGCAAGTGTCGACAACGCGAAACTTTGCACTGTTAGAGGAGGGAGGAGTAAACTTCATTGTAAGAAATGTTTAGGCAGCTGGGCCTAGGCCGCCCTTGAGGGGCGGCCTAGGCCCGGCCATCACACATATCCGTGTCACACGTATCCGTGACAATTATCTAACTGGGTGCTGTCAGATACATTTTTTAACTCCAGCAAACGAAGTGTCTCTCTGAGTATCTTGCCGCATGTTTTTTTTTTATTGCGTGTCTCAACTGCAGTGTTTTTATTAAAAGCAAATAAAGAACTTTTTCAGGGTAGAAAGTACGCTCAAGCGTTTACTAGAGCTGCGAAGCACCACTTGTAATTGGTTTATATCAAAACTTCTTTGGTGTATACAATAGCTCACCGCCATAACGCCGGCGTGTGCATGGTGCGCGGTTCAGCTGCATAACGCAGCGCGCTGCAGAGTGATGTCTGGCTAGCATGGGTTCGTGGTCTTGTGCTTCGACATTTTCTTCTTCCGATTTCTTTTTCCTTTGAGCCTCTATACACATCAAACAAAAATAACTCAAAATAACCTGAAAGCAGGGGTAAAATTCTTGTCCTCCACGCACTCCTTTTCTGTTTTTTCACCTACAATTCGAAGTAGAAATTTACCCCCATGCTAACCGAGTTTTGAGCGTAGCAAGGATAGTAAATATTTACCCTGTTGATGTCTTTGAGCAAGTATAGTGAGAGTAGTATTTTACTTCTTTTTTATAGACTTTTGGGGTGATTCTTAAAGTTATTTCAGGTGGTGTAAAAAAAAGAACATGAAGGGTGAAATGGCACAATGAGTCCATGATATTAAATATCAAATGTTGAAGAGTTGATGATACATACAGAAATAATATACACTAACATAACCAATGCAGATTGAAACACCACCTGAATGAACTTCTCCCGTTAACCAATAGGACTTCAACAATTCAGTATATATATATATATATATATATAGATATATATATATATATATATATATATATATATATATATATATATATATATATATATATAGGCACAACATTTTGACCTACGCTGTAGTGACGAGAGGAGAGCTACCTTTTTTTGCGTTCACAAACAGCAAAGGTTAAGCACATGCATAAAAATTAAGTGGGCTGCAAGTCGCAGTGATAAATACCCAATTTTTAGTAAACACTCACCTCATATCACCTTTTTGATTATCCAATAACTTGCTGGCACTCCGGCCTGTTGGCACCACCCGCATTAGCACTAATGATGCACACGTCGACAAAATATACCTACGCCTACGCGAAACATAGTAACTCAATAAGTTTCACTAAACGGCAGTGCACAAACGCAGCAGTAGCGCGTACTTAAAAACGTAGCTGAAGAGCGGTGCCAAGCCTGCACAGACTCCTTACTGATAGTGTCACTAGGCATTTGTAGGAGCCCGGCCACGGAATGAGACAGCTGGCGATCACAGAATTCATCTTCTGTGAAGTTTTTGTCAATTTAGGCACTCATGAAAAATACGTGTCCACTATCTACGGTGCCTTACAGGGTGATGTATGTGCTTTTAAAGAAAGAGACGAATCATCGTCCGCATTTTCACCATGCTCGCCGGCGGCTGCTGGTTACTTCCGTCTGCCTCTAATAGGAGCTCGCCTTCGCAGACTGCGCCTTACTTCGGCAGACATTGTCTTCTATGATACAAAATCTATGCGACGCTTTTTCACCTACCTTGGCATCGCACACATACTGACCGCTGTCCCGCTCAGTGCCGACGACGTATCGAAGACGTTTGCGTATCGTTTTGAAGTGTAAGTGGTCACTTTACAGGAAGTAACCGTAGATAATGGTCTCTTCTCTTGTGTCCCGTTGGTTTCGCTTCCAATTATTCCATTATGAATGGGCCCTGCTGTGGTGGTGTAGTGGCGAAGGTACTCCGCTGCTGGTCCACAGGTCGTGGGTCTGAATCCCAGCTTCGGCGACTGCATTTTCGATGCAGGCGAAAATGCCGTAGGGCCGTATGCTCAGATTCGGGGGCACGTAAAAAACCCCAGGTTGTTGAAATTTCCGGAGTCCTCCACTACGGCGTCTCTCATTATCATATGGTGGTTTTGGGACGTTAAACCCTACATATCAAATAACCATGGACGATGGCACCAGCTTGGTTTTGTTACCGCTGGCAGCTCTTTGCGATTAGACACGGAAACGAGAAATCTGCTAAGTGCAGGTTTGTAGGCTCGCGCTCTTATGTTCACGGCCACTCTATCATAGAAGTACAATACGTGGGAAGCACCAGAACAACCACACACATACAGCACGAGCTTCATACACCGCCTGTCTCCAGGGCACCTGGACAGCAAAAGCCAACTTATGCGAAAATCTGCAAGAAACTATTTTCGAAAGGTTTTATTTATACTTTTAGGGGCGAAGCTTCTTATAGCCTAACCTTGTCATGCATCACGCCCCTTTGGCTTCGGCTTCACTTAGACGGCACCCCTTGGCTGACCCACCCAGGGGAAATCAGCAGTCACATTTTCCTATCTCTCTCTCTCTCACTACATCTTTGTCTCTCTCTCACACTTCTTTTCTATCCTGTCATCTTCTTTTTTCTGGTTACTTCCGAAATTTCTGGCAGCAAGGGTTAACCTGGTGTAGCTATCCAACCTCGGGTAATTTTAACAGGCTATAGCGGCGATGCATGGATGGCGCCTTCAAGTGTTTGTTGTTTAACCTTGGTGGTAACCAAGGGATCGGTGGTGGCCACCAACCACTGAGCCGTTGTTGGGCTCGGTAGTGGGTGGCCACCGTCGCCGCCTAACTTTATAGCTTTTTATGGCACATAACTCTTCCCTCCTTTTCTAATCGCTCCTCAAAAAGGTGGTGCACCGAAGACACATTCATGCTTAACACACCAAAGCCGACCTTCCCAAAACACCATGTTATCTACAGTCAAAACGAAAAGAAGATATTCCGAGTCAATTCACCTTTCCTCGTGTACAAAGCTCTCATAGAATCAATAGGCCCAGGTTTTCAAGAGAAAAGGATGGGAAGTGGAGATATTTTTCTGGAGGTTCGTGACAAAGCTTGTAGCGTTTGGGGAAACTCCTGTATTGGTGGGCCCAAACTGGTCAATGAGCTTTGTCTGTGGCGTGACTTACGACGGTGATCTCACTGAACTTTCTGAAAGTGAACAGCCCGAAGCTTGGCAGGGCCAGAACGTGGTCAAAGTCTAACGAATCACAATAAGGCGCAACAACAAACAGACGTCTACAAAACACAAAATAATTACATTCGGTACCAGTGACCTACCAGAAATAATTGAAACTGGCTATTGTAAGCTCCGTGTAAGACCATACATTCCCAATTATCGTCAATGTTTCAGGAGTCAACGTTTCGGGAATGGATCGCAGTGTTCTAGAGGGCGCGCCACATGCGCAAAGTTTGCATCCACGCAACACATATCCGGCAACTGCACCTCAGAAACAACTCATTGTTCCAACTGTGGATGAGATCACGCTGACTACTCACAATCATGCCCCACATGGAAAAAAGAGAAACAAATAGAAAAACTTAAGGTCGAATTTATTTGTCATTCCAAGAAGCACGTCAACGGTTCTCACTACAGCACCAGTTTTTCACTCCTTCGCCGATGTGACGCGCCTGGGTGCCGCGCCACACTTTTCGGCACCCGCAAATGACACACAGATTGTAACCGCGGCAGTGCCACCAGCGCCCCAGGCTCGAGCACCCTGTACTGCTCTGACATTTGACAAACAGGGTCGGCAGACCCCCGTGTCTGCTAGACCTCGGACCACTACCTGCGCTGTAATGTTCGAAAGTTCTGTGAACATGCCTGCCGAGCAGGCACCATTCACCAACTCACAAGAGGTGATGGATACATGTGCCACTCCTCCGGTGCCTCAGATGCCGATGGATAATTGCAACTATTTGGAGCGCGCCAAGAAAGAAAAACCCCGACTCACAGGGTCCCCAAAGGTCCTGTAACCTAACGCAATACTTTTGTACACATAGCACCACACAACACTAAAATGGCACAAATACTACAGTGGAACGTCGGAGTACTGCTGAGAAACCTCGATGATATCCAGGAACTTTTACACGAACATACACCTAAACTGCTGTGCGTACAAGTGACACACCTAAAACCCAAACACACCAACTTTTTGTGTCATTACGTTATTTTTGGAAGGACTGGAATGATACCGTTGTGTCATCCGGTGGTGTTGCCATTATAGTAAATCAAGAGATTGCATGCACACACCCACCACTACAAACATCCCTTGATGTGGTGGCTGTTCGAGCAGCTCTTATAAATAAGCTCGTCACCATCTGCTCTCTCTACATACCTCCACAACACTGTCTTTAAAAGCATGAACTCCCGTCCCTCATAGACGAACTTCCAGAACCCTACCTTGTCTTAGGGGACCTTAATGCGCATGATAGCCTCCGGGGTGACTCTCGCTGCGATGCGTGAGGTCCGCTGATTGAACAGTTCCTTTTTTCTTCCGGTGCGTGTCTTCTAAATCAAAAAGAGCCAACCTATCACAACATCGCTAACATTATGTACTCAATAATTGACCTCAGCATAACAACTCCATCACTCCTACTTCTACATAAATGATACGTCATTAATAATTCATACGGTAGTGACCATTTTCCTATTGTTATCAGCACATCAATGGCAAATACAGAATACAGGTTCCCAAATGGCTCACCGACAAAGCCGATAGGAAACCGTTTTAAAAAATTACTCTATT